GGGGAGAGGGAGAGAGAGGGGTGAGTTTTAGCGGTCGAATAGTGTCAGTGGCATGCAACTTTGTCAGGATGTGTATATGTGCGTGTGTGTGTCTGTGTGCAAATGGCAAGGCTAAAACAGGGAGTTTAATCGGAGCTTATCCACAGCATATTACGTACTCCCATTTCCACTCCCATTTCTTTGTTATTCGGTGCATAAACAATGCAAACGGCGAAACTATTGTGAGTTTCATCCGTCTTTACTCGATTTAACATTGCATCTGAAATGATAAGAAGAAAATGCATTACGTGCAACTAAGAGGTACGGCAATCGATATCTCACTCACATTTAAAGCATTACGTATCAGATTTATCGAATTTGCGCATCGTAAAACATTGTCTGTAAAATAAATATTTTCTGCTAACTTTACAATATTTTAATTATTTCATACTGATACAGATTCTTTATAAAATATCATAAATATTTCTAAATATAAAAAAATCGCAGTTACTATACGCAATTACTATACTAAATCTTCAGAAAGATACCTGCTCAAATTATGAGTCAGTCTTTTAACAAATTGACCGTTGTACTTAACAAAAATGTGTGAAAAGAAAAAATGATGTGTGTGAATGAATAATTGCGAGTTATTGGAAACTTTAAATTATATTTATGTCAAGTGAGTAGCAAAAGTAAAAATAAAAAAAGTAAAAAAAAAACTATATAATATATATTATAAATGTCTTACACATTTACATTGCATTTATTTATTTATCTACAATAAATTGATTAAAAATGATATCGAGAAATATGAGTTTTTATTTTGAAAACGCATTACATTCACACTTGAATTTATGCGTTTTCCAACGAATTAATGCTTTTGCAACAAAAAAAAATAGGATGGTAACAATTGATCAAGCCAAAAGTAAATTCACAATTTATTTACATTGACAGCAAGTTAATTACTCCAATGCGAAAACAAAGATGCAATCTGCATCGGATTCTATTGGGAAAGATAATTTGTCTGATACTGTATTGGAATAATCATTTGACAGTATTGCTTTTGATTTTTGTTATTTGCTAACGCAAATTTTATACTTCATTAAATGCAGCTGTAAAATGGAATTAAAAATTAATACCTACGAATATTTAGAAAAAATTTACTGCCACTGCAAATTTTGCGCTGTAGCAAAATATGTTAGTTATTATATGGGCAGTAAAGAGATTTGTTTGAGACTATTTTTATTTACTAAGAAAGCAAATTATATCGCTATTATCGCTAAATTGATTTTTTATCTTGCCATAAAAATTTGTACTGCAACAGTAATTTCGTTGCAATAGCAAAACACGGTTTTGCTAGAAATAAATTATTTTGTTGTAACAGCAAATTAATGTCTGTGATAAAATTTATATATATATATTAAACAGATTTTGCTGATATATCGAATAATCCGAAAAATTAGTAGCAAAGTTTTGTCACATCTAATATATGTACAACAGCAACGACAAATTTGCTGCGATAGCAAGATTATTTTTTCCCGTATAGTTTTTTACTCAATATAGCTCTTATCTAACATAGGCTTATAGCTTTCTTTATCTAACCATTTTGACAATTGCAAGTTTTTATAATAATTAACTTTCTGTGCAAAAAAATTTGAATTTTAAAAAGGTATAATAATAATATTTTTATTACTTATTTATGCAAACTTTCAAGTTAACGAAATTGTAGCGATAATCGATTTTATATTTCATACGTGAATAAATTTAAATAGCATGATAACTTAATATCCAATGTGTCAATTACTACAATAATTACTCAAAGAATAATCAACAATATTATACGTACATTTTTGATGAAGAGATATTCAATGGCTTTGGAACATTCCGTATACGTTGCGATTGCATTTGCATAAAAAAGTTTATATTATTTAACAAGTCGGAAATACCGTGTGTTCGTCAACTATTTATTGTCTTGATTATATAATAAAGATAGAATACACTTGCCAGCTCCTGTAAAGTAGACAACAATTGAGGTTCCAAAAACCTTGCTAATAAGACGAAAATTCAACACTATCAATATCTAATAATAGAATCTACACTGAGTACCGGAATACGAACTGAATTTGGAAAACTCAGCTAAAATGTTTACTAGAGCGGTCACTTGAGTACCAACTTGAGTGCAAAGCGGAGTACTTCTGATAACTATCTGAGTGTTTGAAGAGAGTGCTTAATAGTGACGATCTGAGTGCCCAGAGGTAGAGAATTCAACCCTTTTTAAAAATTGCATATCGATTTTGTTTTTAGTAAAAGGGATTGATCTGCTAACAGAATAATATCGATCCTTTTGGTCGACGATCTGTTATTGTTCATAGCAAAACCATTCGAATCACAGAATCCCTTTAATTCTGTTCTGGCACACACACACATGTTACGAATCATCCGGATTCCATAAATAAGGATGAAGCAATATAAATTCAGTTTTGCTAGAATTATCGTATTCACACATCATTTATTAGAATTGCTATTGTTTTATCTGAAGCTACAACAGCAGAATTTTAGCTTATCGTTAATAAAGAAGAAATATACGCAATGCAATTATAGCTATGAATTAGCTGCTCAATAAGTAATATTAATGCTCGTTTCTACCAACGCAGTTTAAAAAATTAATCCCTAATAATATTCGGTTATAACGAATCGTAATTAAGTTAAATAATAAATGTAATTAGGGATTAATTTTTTAAACTGCGTTGATAGAAACGATCATAATAGGGATCGAGCTCTAATTATTGTAATATACGTATAATATTGTGTTTTGTTATTAAAATTTTAGAAAAAAATGCAAATATGATGTGCAACTACTAATAAAAAAATCTTTCACAAATTGTTTATGGAACATAGTTATAAATAATAAACGTACAAAACGACTTGAAAATATTTCAACAATTGAGATTTTAAACAATTGGTAAGATAGCTGCTTAGTTTTTAAATCACAATTTGCGTTTCAAGTAAATGTTTCATTTGTGCTTGTTTGCAGAGCATTGTCTACATAAAGTATTCATTTATCGAAGAATCTCCTTTGCTAAATGCAATTGCATTCTAGGACGAGCTTAAGTTACAATGACGCGGAGCGACGATGAAAAACGGAAACGCATTAGATTCATCGAGCGGATGATAAGAAAAATTATGCAGATACACAATTCGCAATATTTTTATTGAAAAACATTCTTGCCATCGCTTTGCAGATAATACGGATTTTGCATTAATGTGAAGATGCGCCACGGGCATTTGGCAATGATACAAGAAATTTCCGGACGGAAAATCCGGGCAACACCAGATAACGAGTAATGTATACAAGATATTTCACCGCCTATCATTTTAAATTAATAGATTCTGAAAACCAAGGATTTATATACATTGATAAAAATGGTTTAAGATGCTGTGCGCGCGCGGTAATAGTAGTGTGATTATATGTAACATTAATCCAGAATCTCTTATAAATGATGTATAAAGTTGCTTGAAAAAAAAAACAATTGTGGAGTTCTCGCAGAACGTAATATTATTCCGTATTTGTCTTAAAAAAATTTTTCAATTTTAATAGTGAATTAATAATATTTTATCAGACACACAAAATAACAAAAAGTAATTTCCATAAAACTAAAGAAAAGCTTAACTTTGAACTTTGAGAAATATCTGATTAAAAGAAAGTACAAATCAAAAGATTTGTTATATATTTTATATGTATTTTTGACATTAATGTAATAAAATATTTTGTATAATATTTTTATAACATTGAAATTTACAGGAATGACAAGAAAATTCATCATTCAATTCAATTTCCACGCATTTGTATACCCACTCATTATTCTAAATTGCAAACGACGTCTACTCGACATGCCAAATATGTACTTTGTTTAGGTACTATAAAATTCGCTATTGCTGCAGGCTATTATCCGCAACACGTTATTAACACTAGGTATAGATTGCATTTGTGGTAACCCAGTGGTAATCGTGAGTTTAAAAGCCCGCGAAGTTGCTGCTATCGGCATGTTTCGATTTTTTCTCCACAGGGAATATTAGTTCCACTCAAAGCAAAATTGATCCATAGCTTACACACCAAGAAATCAGTGTATTTGCGTCAGAAATTTTATTCGGAGTCAGTGTCTCGTGGCCTAATCTGCAAAACCTGATTGTATGTAAAGAAAAATACTATAAATAAAAGGTGAGTCGTAATTTTTTGTCAAAATTATTGTTAATATATCTATTTTAATGTTAAATAAATAGTATAAACCAATTATTTATCAATTTCACAATCCGTACGCTTTCTTGCACTTGCTCGAAAAGTGAGATTACTCAGTGGTAACCTCAGAACTTGCCGAGCAAAAAATATCGCAAAATTAAATGGTATATTTCTCTGTTTTTTTATCAAATTTCACTTTTCTTCGGCAAACATGGTGAGAACGAGAAATCAACGAATCGCTCCAATCCGAGTATGTCAGATTACTCGGATGATGATTTTGATGACGCAGAAAATTTTCAGCCTGAGCAAGGTGATTCTATCTCTGAAGGATGGTGCGTGGATGAGGAGATATCTGATACATCTTCAGTTAGTGAAGACGAAGAAGAGATCGAAGAGGAGAGACCTCCAAAAAGAGCGAGATTTTCGAAAAAAGGAAAAGGCAAGGTTCCGAAAAAATCAGCACCATCACGCTCTCGGGAATCTGTGGATTTGAACATACCTGAAGAGGAATATAAAAAAAATCATACGAATCAACAATTATCTGACATAGCCTTAGAGTAATTTCTACAATTTTTCACTTATCAAGCTGTAGATTTAATTATCGAACAAAGTAATTTATATCATACAACAAAAAAAGGGACTTCAGAAATTTTTTAAAGTTTTTT